TGCTCTAGCTTCTTAGTGCTGTGCTTTAACACGTTGTGCCACCATGGAGGGCCCTCATACATTCTTTTACTTAAGAGGGTCCTACTCTATACAATGATTTTGGAAAAATGATTCAACACAAAAGAGAGAATAAAGTGTTTACCTTTCTGAACTTAAAAAGAGTTTTACATTCCTCTTACAGAACGCAAGGCACAAGGACAAACATACAACGCTAAGGAAAAGACGTTCAGTTAGAGCAGACTGGAATGCTCTGGAGTATTTGTAATCAGCCAAGGTTTGGCCCTTTCAATCTTTCAAGTAATACACGCACAAATTCAAATACTTAGTATATACACAGACGGACCCGTAGATGGTCTCTGCTACATTTTCAAGGAAGAAAAATACAGAGAAAAGTGATTCTGAACAGATTGTCAAGGACTAAAAGTTACCAACACTAAGAAACCCACGGCTTCTAGGAATGCCTTCCTCTGCTCTAAATAGGGAAGAATCTCATTCATAAATCTTTTTTCGGAGCTTCAATGGATCATGTATCCCACGAATTTACAAGCCTGAGCACTCGTAAAAGCCTTCCTTTACACATACCCTCGCGAATGCTCCCCACGAAAGCCTGCGCATGGTTAGGTCGCCACGTCCTCTGTTTTACTTTTGTATTCCTGGATCCGACATGAGAATCTTCTCCGCTAGTACCAAAAGTCCCCGTCCGCCTCCACCGTGCTGCCGGTCTCGCAGGCGCCATGCCATACCTTCCCCGGCGCGAGAAAGCCACAAAGGACGCCGTCAAAATACGTCATCAAGCCCAAGCAATCACTCACCCAACTAGCGTGCAGATCTGGGCTCTACTTATCCGGCCTGTGCTATCGATCTGGATTCTACTTATCCGGCCTGGGCTCTTTCCACCCCCCCTTTCTTGGGGCCACATTTGCGCCACCTACAGCCTTGGAGGGTGAGCGTTATGGCGGCCTCTTGCCCGCTCCCTGTGACCCAGGACCTATCCACGTTGTATGCCAAGTTACAGGGGCTGGTGCGGTTCCTAAGGGAGGCCCTGTTCATTTCCAATGCACATACGGTAGACTTCTACACCGAGTCCGTGTGGGAGCAAATGATCAACTTGCCGCCGGAGATCGTACTGGCGGTGCTGAGGCGGTCGGCGGCGGAGGCGGGGCCGTCGGAAGTGCGCCCCCTGGTGGAAGGCGAGAGGGGTTCAGGTAAATGGCCGGTGGGCGGGGCAGGCGGGAAGGCGGAACGAAGGTCTCGCAGGCGAAGCGCGCCCTCTTGAGGAACCGAGGGGGACCAGGTGAGCTGCTGCGGCGGCCAGAGGCGGGGCCAGTAGATTCGTCCTAGGGCGGGACGCCTCCATCTTTGATCTCTGGGTGCTTGTGTATGCCCACATTTTCAAAGAGTAAGAAACAAGGCCGGGGAATGAATGAATTCATTCATTCACCTAGTAATTATACACACACACACACACACACGAGTATATGTAATATGATAATATTGTATATATTTATACTTCATATAAATATATTTTATATTATATTTTAATATATCTCATAAATTTGTATATGATATATAAATATATATATGGAAACGGGGGCCGTGTTTTCCTAGTGGTAGTACGTTCCATATCAATATATAGAAGATAAGTCAGCACATAACGAAATAACTAAGGATAATTTCAAAGGATGACCTTAGCCAAGAAGAAAATAAAAAGCCCATGTGTGATGTCTGTTTTGAGGAGCTGTTTTAACATAGGCAGCCACGAGCCTGAGAAGGCCCCAGCCGGCTGGGATTTGGGGAGCTGTGAACCTCCAAGAGCCTAAGGGGTTCAGGGGAAAAGCTCTAGTGAGTCAAGGCGGGTGCTGGGCAGCCGGGCAGTCGGGGGTTGGCCGGAATGGTGCACAGCACCTGTGGTGGAGTTTCCTGGCCCTGGAGGGGTTCGCAGGCATTGGAACCATTCTGTGGAGTGACCTACAAACGAAAAATAATCTTACATTGGAAAAGGTGACTCTGCAAGTTACTTGACTAGATTAGAGGGGCAAAAGCTGATTGACTAGTTAGAAGACAGTTTCTGTAATACAGGAAAGAAACGACTATGTTGTGGACTAGGGTGTTGGTAGTGAAGAGCTGAAATCTATTGTATTAGCTCATTTGAAAATAGTGTCACTGTATCTACTATGTGCGGTGCATTTTTTTTCCCAGTTTTTTTGTTTGATCTCTTAAGAAACATAGTTCTATTAAAGTTTATTTTGGACATAGAACGATGTGGGGCTTCAGCAAGCTCCTGGACCTTCTGCTTTCTCCCATGCTTTTCCAGCCTTGCCCTTGCTAGTGAGCTTTATTCATTGAGCATTCTCTGAATGCAAAGCACCACAGAGGGGCCGCCTATAAAAGAGCTTAATAAATATCACTTTCTTTAAAGTCACTATTGTTAAAAAGTAAGGCAGCCCTTTATTCATGCTTATAATATCTAGCACTTAGGATAATGTGGCAACCTAATGAAAGAGCAGAGACAGTGTCTGTCCTGGGTACTGATCTACTCCCAGCCCCTACTTGGTATGCATTGAATGCAGTGAAGATTCATTGAGTGAATACATGAATGAATGAACAAACAAATGATTAACTCATGATAGTTTCCAAAAAGAAGGGAGGAAACTACCTTTATGTAGGAAGCTCAAGAAGTTCTCATAGCGTTTGTCTGGACTAAAAACAGTGGAAGAATTAGATTGTCTCACATGTCCTAATCATAATAATGGGTTATTTGCTATTATTTACCCTACAGTACACTGTGTTCTCTTGCATATTTTCTCCTTTAATCTTTATACCATCATTGTAAGTTGGGTTCTGTTTTCCTTTAGTTGTGAAATTTCAGCCTTAGGAGTTCGTTTGCCAACAGGCTATAGTGGAGATTCAACCATGAGTCATTTGATTCCAGAGTCTCAGGTCTTCACCACCATGATTAAATCTGAATTATCAGTAATTAGTTACAACAGTCATTTATTATCCAAATCAATGTTTTTATGGCCTCACTATAGTTTTGTTTTTTCTTGTTTCCCCTTTAAAAAGGAAAGAATTGTCCATTCACTGCTGAATCCCCAATACCTAGAATGTCTGGTCATGGTGGGTTTCTAAGAAATGTTTGGCAAGTAAATAAGTGAAGAATAAAATATTATTTGTTCTCTTAGGATAGGAGTAAAATGCTAGTGTCTTTTAGGAAAACTTTACAACAATTATGCGTTTATCTAGACTAGTTTTTCCATCTCTGAATACTCTGGCCCTTCAAATTTCTTCTACAAAATATTCAGTTGTACAAATGGTCAGCTGCATCCAGCATTAACAGCGAGTTTTTGTAATTTATACTTGCAACAAATAGTAATTTTCATTTATAAAATGTTATGTAATGATGGGCATTTTTCCCATTACCAGATGAAGTCTGTTAGAGAAGAACATTAGAATCCTTTGACCACACTTGTATGTTATAGAGAATTGTCAGCTATTATTTACAGTATAGTTTAGCAGTTAAATTTTTAAACTCTTGAGTCACCTAGGGATCAAATTCCAGTTCTGCCGCTTACTAACCATGCCTGTGACCTTGTGGAAGTTCATTCATACAGCAGACATTTAGTGAAGGTCTTCTGTTTGCTAGCACTTTTCAAGACCTAGAAGTAGCAGTGAATAAAACAAAATTATTTCTCTTCATCTTGCTTTCATTTTAAAGGAAAGAGGTAGACAATGAAATAGCAAAGTGCTACAGAGGAAAAATCAAGTAGAAAAGGAAAATAGGAGAAAACACTGTTTTCAGTTTTAAATAGATTGTTCCAGCAAGACCTCATGGAGATGACTCTGGAAGAAAAATCTAAATAGGGAGAAAAATGAATCACGAAGCTGTCTGGAGGGGGATAGTAAGAATAGGGAGCCTCAATGCCCGGAGGTGGAAGCGTGTATGATGTAATTAAAGAGCAAGAAATGAGAACAAATTTCCCACCAGGGACTTACAAGAAGTGTGCTTTTCTGTAGGTTCTGTTTGAACAGCTACAAATAAACAATTCCCAGTGCTGCACCAAATTATTGCTCAGTGTGTGAAGTACACTCACAGATGTTTGGCACAATCGTTTGGTGTTTATGAGACCAAATTGCTTCTGAAAAATCCTTAGTGTAACCATTTGAGTAGATTTCTCCTGCCAGCTGGTCCTCAGGCCTGGTCAGACCTGCTAGTTTCTTCACTGTTCATCTCTAAAGAAAAGAAAAAAAAAAAAACTTAATCCAAAATAAGAGGAAAACATTGGAAATAAATATACTTAAAAGGTATAATATGGACCCTGTGGAGTGAATTGTGCCTTCTCCCCAAATTCACATGTTGAAACGCTGACTCAACAGTGTGACTGATTTGGAGGAAAGACCTTTAAGAAGGTAATTGATGTTCACTGAGGCCCTGAGGTTTAGCCCTTATCCAGTGCAGAGGAGATGTCCTGAGGATGCACACAGAGCAAACCTCTGTAGGCTCAGAGAAAGCAACATCTGCAAGCCAAGAAGAGAGGCTTCACTAGGATCCACATCTGCCAGCACCTGTCTTGAACTGGGTTTTCCAGCCTGTGATGTTTTCCTGGGTAGCCCCCAGCATGACTGACTGGACTTAGACAGATAGATAATCTGGGTTCAAGTGCTGGTTCCACCACTTTTTTGTTTTCTTAACTTGGACTTCAAGTCTTGGCACCTCAATTCCTTATCTGCAAAGGGTGGTTATGATAGTATCTACTTGATGGGTAGTATCAGGTACTACATAAATTAATACCTAGAAAGGGTTAAGAGTCATGCCTAACAAATTAATAGCATTTAACTTATTCCTTGACTAAAGTTTATTAACCACTTTCTACCTGCTATTGTTCCAGGCCCTACACTTTAGAGATTGAATACACTAACTTCTGCCCATATGGAACTTCGGTTTTATTTTGAGTAGTGGAGATGTAATGAACTAAATGAGGTCTCTACACACATACATCATGTGGCAATAAATGCAGTTAAGAAAGGCAGGTCAGGAAAAGGGAAGTGAAAAATGATGGTGTGGCAGAAGATTTTCAATAGGATGATGGAGGAGCCTCTAACAAAACTTGAACAGAGACTTGAAGAAAGACAGGGAGCCGGCTGGGTGTGTTGGGAACAGAGCAGAGTGGTGCAGGTAAGAACGATAAGAGATAATAAGAGGTTGGAGTGGTGATCTGGAGCAAGTTGAGGTAGACCTGATGGTCTAACTAAAGGCTTGATTTTTTTGCTCTGAGTTAATTGGAAAGCTCTTTGAGGGTTTTGTGTGGGAATGAGATGCGTGACCTGTGTTTTGCCTTTGTGAGAAGAGGAGGCTCTCTGAAGGTAAGAGCAGAAACTAGGTCATAAGAGCAGAGATGAGCTAGGAGGTTATTTAAATAGTCCAGGGAGATTTCACATAGTGGCAGTAAAGAAGAGATATCAGATGAACACTGGCCTTATTACTAAAGAAACTGCCAGGTGATTCTGGAAGATGATCAGAGGAAGGCAGAAACATGCAATGGGTTTGCTGATGAAGGATTGTTAGCTGATCTGGTTAGAACTGGGACTTAAGGCTTTCTGGTTGAAGAGCCCCAAGCTCCTTTAGATCTGGGGATAGAAAACTATATGCTTATCCCCTTAGATCTGGGAATAGAAAATTATATGCTTGTGGTGATGACAGAGGTCAGAGATCAAAGCAGAAGGAAATTGAAAGAACATTCTGAAAACAGGAGAGCTACGGAAGGGCTGATGATTTGAGAATAAACT